TGGTGCGCTGATTGAATACGGGGTCTTTGGTAAGATGAATGGTGCTCTCATTATCACACCAAAGAGTTAGAGTTGGTTAATGGAAGCCAAGCTCGGCCAAAAGGAAGAAGAGCCAGCGGGCTTTCTGAGTCGTCATGGTGCCCGCATAAAACTCAGCTTTACACGATGAAAGGGAGACAAACGATGAGTGCGTGGATCACCAACTGATGACGCCGCTGCTAAGCGTGAAGCAATAGCCTTGAGAAGATCGACGGTCAGACTGGTCGTTAACCTATGACGAGTCACTGTAAACTTCAAGCTGTGGTGGGGATGTCCCACCAAAAGTAAGGTCATAGTCCTTGGTAGCCTGGAGGTAGCAAAGAACCTGTTTTGTAGTAGTCCAGTGAAGATACGTGAAACGGCCAGCAGCGAAAAGGCAGGATAAAATGCTGATGAGATATGCAAGATCGGGCCTTGTGCACATCATGGCGTACATCAAGGACCCAACAAGCTCAGGGTAGGCTTCGTGGCAAGGTTCTGGTGATGGAGTTGGTGGAGCAGTCAATGCGTGTTGGAGCGGAAGAGGGGTGGCGACAGGCTTAGCGTGGTCCATGTTGAAGCGTTTGAGCACGTTGCGTTGAATGCACGTCAGTTTAAGTGCATGACATCCTAACGTATCGCCGAGTGCTTGTGCTATTTGTGCTTGCATAACTTGCATGAGCATATGTCATTACGCATGGCTGTTGGATCCACATCTGTGTTCTTCTTCATGTCTACATGCTTGATCATGCAGGGGAAATCCAGAGCTTTCCAACGATACCAAGATCGCCTTATTCCGACCAAGATCGCCCAAGTTACAAGATTTCCAAGTTTTGGGAATTCTATTTCATTTTGAGATATTATCTACATTTTACAATTATTGAGACATAATTATAAAGGGGTCTTTGTTAGAAAGTCAACTTTGATTTTTGGATTGGAGTGGTTAAAAGTTTCTAGCATGGATTGCAAATATTGCAACACCAGTTGGATTTTGTATGTGACACCTCAAGGATCTCATGCTGAGGGTTGCATCCTTGCTGCTAAGAAGGTTCCTACCATCATTCCCTATCTCTTGGAGAACCTCTTCCCTCTCAAGGTTCTCTTGAAGTCCCCAACTCCAACTATTGATGCCTTAATGCTTTTACTTCTTCCACCATTTTAATCATGCAGCAGCTGGACGTTTTCAATTGGTTTTCACTCTCTAAACCATCTTTTTGAGTGATTCAGATTGGAGATGATAGCTAAGCCTGAGGCGCATAATCCTATAGTGCGGATTTGCGTTTAGTTGAAAAATGAACTCGTCGTAAGTTCTCAAAGTGACGGATCCTGAACAACGCGTTGGACACGTAGAATTCTTGAGAGGGTGACGGTGCGGTTGGGGTGATCTATTATTTCCATGCCGAGGTGGTTCTTAAGTTCGCCAAGGTCTTTCATGGCGAGAGCGTCACCAAGAGCCTTTTTTAGTGCTTCCAACTAAGCGAGCTCTTTTGAGAGAAGAATCATGTCGTCCACGTAGACGAGGATAAAGAATGGTTCGTTCATTTGACGAATGAAGAGACTTGGATCAGCAGCCGATGATGAAACTCGAGCGTCCCCTGGGTGAACTTCAATCTGTTGTGCCATTCACGTAGGATCTACTTCAGTCCATAAACAGGACAATTGAGTTTCCAGACTGTGCCAGGCAAAAATGGTGAAGGAAAGCCTTGGGGTCGTTCCATGTAGATGTCTTCAAAGAGGTGTCCTTGAAAAAATGCAAAAGACACATCCACGTCGTTGATTTCGTAGTCTTCGCGAGCTCTGACGTCGAGCAGAGTACGGAGAGTGGTGGGTTTGGCTGTAGGAGAGAAAATCTCGAAAAAGTCCAGACCCTTCTTCTCAGTGAAACATTGTGCGCAGTAGCAAGCTTTGAAGACCCTTCTTCTCAGTGAAACATTGTGCGCAGTAGCAAGCTTTGAAGACCGGAACACCCACTTGCCGAATGATGTTGACTTCGGGCGGAGGTGAGACGTCGTTGTATGAGTTGGTGCGTGTGAAGGTCTCACATTCCCCAATGATGGCTGCTAGCCATTGAGTGGAGTGGGGACCTGAGATAGCTTAGTTGGATGGATGGGTTTTCAGAGAAATTGAGGGTGGGGGAGTCGTCAAGGTCTGGAAAAAGGTAGCAGAGTTAACGAATAGAAGCATTGAGGTCATTAGCTCCTCATGCCTGTCTTCGAGAAGGCCGGGCATAGACACACCCCCAGCAGGAGGAGGCGAATTGAGAGAGATACGGAGAGAGAAGGTGAGCGGAGGAGGACGGTTGTAAGAGCGGGTGCGGTGGTTAACGGGAGAGGAAGGAGGAGCCGGTGGAGGCGGAGGAACATCAACATAGGAGGGACCACGGCGGCGATGGCGGTAAGTGATGAGAGGAGGAGCAGAAATGGAAGGGGCAGAAGTTGAAGGAGGATGCGTGGGTGACGCAGGAGGAACAGAAGGAGGAAGGGTTGCAGATGGAGGAGGTGACGAGTTAGGAGGCGCAGAGGTGACAGAGGGAGATGGAGGGCCGGACATAGTGGAAGGAGAGGGAGCTGGAGAGGGGGAAGAGGAAGGCAGGAGGCGAGGAGGCGAGCGCCGGAGAGGGGGATGGATCGAATTCAGCCCACATAAAAGGTGGGGAAGGTGGGGCGGATGGAGAAGTTGCGTAGAAAGGTCGTGTTTCATCGAAGACGACGCCATGACTGCGGATGAGTTGATCTGAAGTAGCGGCTTCAGCTGCTGCTGCAACGTTTCTTCGTGAGTCTCCGCATCGAAGATTGGGAGCAATTCCAGCCAATCTGTGTCTCCACAAACGTTTGATCCCAACTTCAATAGGAACCGGTTTTCACCGCATTCGCACTGGATTGGCAAGCACAGCAACCACTCCCTGCGTCATTCTGCATGGGGAGGCTCAGTAACGACTCAAGCAAGCCAAGAGTACAGTTAACCGGACCTACCAGGCTCGGCAAGGCAGGTTCGGTGCCAGCCTACCAAGGTCCAAGCAGCACGTACAGCATGCGAGATGTATCCAGGAGGTGTTTCTTCGAGCGCTTAAGTATGCCAATGGTGCAATGGGGATTTTGCGGTTCTTGTGCCTTCCGGTTAGCAGATCAAAGAAGGTGCTCTGCGAGAGCAGAAAGAAGAGCTCGCAGCAGCAGTGCAGTGAATGGAGGACCATGTGAAGCAAGAGGAACAGCAGGTGGAGCAAGAGGAGGAGCAGGCGAACCAAGAGGAGGAGGAGGCGAGGCAAGAGGAGGAGGAGGCGAAGTAAGAGGAGGAACAGGCGAAGTAAGAGGAGGAGCAGGCGAAGCAAGAGGAGGAGGAGGCGAAGTAAGAGGAGGAGCAGGCGATTTAGGAGGAGGAGCAGGCGAAGCAAGAGGAGGAGCAGGCGAAGCAAGAGGAGGACAGGCGGAAGCAGAGGTCGCTATAGGAAGAAGAGGAGGCAGGCAGAGGTGGGGCAGGCGATGGAGGAACAGGTGGAGATGGAACAGGTGGAGCGGATTGATTATGATGAGTAGGTGAGACCACAGCCGCGACTGGAGGTGAGCGTTGCTGCAAAGGCAAGTCCCTCGCTGTGTTAGTAGTTAGAGGTGTAGTGTGATGAGGAGGCGAGGCAGCAGCAGCAACTGGATGTGAGCATTGTTGCCGAGGTCCCTGGCTGTGTTGGGGGTCAGGCGGCAGGAGCAATTGGAAAGTGAGTCGTGGGTCGTGGATGTGGGTCGTGGATGTGAGTCGTGGATGTGAGTCGTGGATGTGAGTCGTGGATGTGAGTCGTGGATGTGAGTCGTGGATGTGAGTCGTGGATGTGAGTCGTGGATGTGAGTCGTGGATGTGAGTCGTGGATGTGAGTCGTGGATGTGAGTCGTGGATGTGAGTCGTGGATGTGAGTCGTGGATGTGAGTCGTGGATGTGGGTCGTGGATGTGGGTCGTGGATGTGAGTCTAGGAGCTGCTGGTGAGGTTCCTAGCTGCCGGAAATGCATGCTCCAACTTGCATGCACTTTATAAGCAATGCACCCATGGACTCATGCGCTGTCAGGCCGAATGGACAAGCATGTCTTCAAGGTACTTGGCACTAATCTGTCTGGTGTAAGCACCTGTTTATTGCAATCACGTGTCCATTGGAATACACTGTCAAATGGAATCACCTGTTTGTTGCAGCAGCAAC